AATATAATATATTATTATATAATTATTTTTTATTTAAAAATTTATTTATAATAATATATATTTTTATTTAATATTATATTTTATTTTATTTAATTCACGGTATGGCTTTACATGTATAGTATGCTAAATTTATAGCATTGTCCTATGTCTATACCATTGTCCTTTATCTATAGCGTTGACGAAGAGATAAATCACGGAATTGTTACTAATGAAATCCAGCGTCACATGGCTATAGAACTTGGACTAGGCCTGTCGAACTCTAACTTTATGAACTTAGGCCAACCCAGAAGGCTCAAAAGAATCATATTCTAGCCAGGCAACAAAACCATACATTAGGTTCCTAATTTATTTTAAATTTTTTATTAAGTTTTTAAATTTTCATTAAAGTAAATAAGTTTCTGCTTGTTGTAATTTGGTTAATTTAATCTTTCTTTTTATAATAAACTTAACATCTATTTATACTTTATTTACATAAATAAAGTCAATACTCATCATATAAAATGATGTATCAATACTTTATTCGTATAAACAAACCATAATGAACGAGTGTTAAGTGTATCATAAAGAACAGAGTTAAATTTCTCAAGTTGTCAAATTTATAAATTTATTTACTTTAATAAAAATTTAAGGATTTAATCTAAAATTTGGGGCAAATTCGGAAACTTAACATAAGGTTTTGCCTTCTCACTAAAGCCCACCTTTTCGACGGAGCTTTATTCTCATTACTCCTTTAGATTCTAATAGCCCATTCCCGGAGCCTATTGGGTTCTATTCATCCGGTTTTAATAGGCTCACAAAATTTTAGTTGTTGGCTCGGAATCGTTATTTTCGCTTCCACATTTTCCATTTTCATTTTTCCTCGATTAATTAGCAACTAAACTATAACAAAACCTACAAAAATGTTGAGTTTGATCCCAAAATGGACTTCTAAGCCTGGGATTAGCTATCCACTTTGTATTCTACAGTAAGCCTTTTTGACTCAATGCTTGGTTATTCTTTTTTTTTTTTTTCTTTCAAATTGTGCAATTATGTCATATAGTATGTGATTAGATTCATGGATTGGGAGCAAAATCCATTATTCAATGATAAAATTAAAAAAAAAAAAGGGAGCAGCATCCATTCCATGAAAAATAGAATGAACCATCCAAGCTCGGCCCATGGGTTGAATTGGTTTGTAAAAATTAAAACCTAAAATTTATTTAGATTCATTTAA